AAATCCAGGTCTCCTACTCCTCTGCCATCTTGCTCCGCGCCCCCTCACAATAGGTTTTAAATAAATATTTGTTGAGTAAAAAGTCTTTAACTTTCCTCAAGAAGCTATCTTGAGGAAATCTTGAAGACAAATTTGAGTTAACTGAAGTGGAGAAAAGGAGTTTCAGGAGGAGGGAACAGCATGAACAAAAGCCTGGAAAGGTGAATCATCTTGGTTCCATTAAAAAATAAAAAGTCCATTTTTCTGTAAACATAAATTAAATGGATATTGGGGGGTTGCAGAGAAGTTCCCAGAGAGCAGATCATAAAGAATAATGTGTACTAACTACACAATCGAATTTTGTAAGTTATGAGAACCACTGGGGGAAAGTTTTAGCAGAAGAGGAACCAGACTTGGAAGGAGAACAAATTGTATCCATGAAAATAGTTAAGAATCTAATATAATAATCCAGATGGAAATGATACGGGCTTAAAATAGGGGCATGGTTCAGAATAGGGAGCCTTTAAGAAATATTAAAGAGGTACACTCTGTAGGATTTTCAGACAGAAGGAATATGGGGATTAACAACAAAGAATATCTAGAAAGATTTCCAAAATAACAGGGTGGATGGTGACATAGTTCAGTGAGATGAGAAATATAGCAGAGGAAATAAGTCTGGAGAAAAAGATAATGTATTTAGTTTGGGCGTGTTGAGTTAGAGCTATCTATGAGTTATCCAGGTAATGATGAGGGAGATAGTAGCAAAGGATGCTTGATTTGAAAGTTGTGTCTGCTGTGCCTCAGCCTAACCCGTAAGTGCCAGCATAAGCAGTGATGTGTGGATAAATGTTTAACAACCAGCATTTAACAACCAGGAAACAAAGTCTGATTTATAGCATTTGCCAGTGTCCATGGTTATATATATTCCCACCATGCCAACTTTAAGCTACCAACACGAGCTCATTGTACATGATGTTGGGAAGAGACACACCCAGCTGGTTCTCATGATTTGGTACAAGCTGACTCTGGCACATAACTGAAAGCCTCCTAGCCTTGGAAACTGCCCTTGGTGATATGATATCTCTAGGAATGCTACTTTTGGGAATTGCCTGTAGGGAACTGGTGTCATCATGGGGGCATGCAGTGATCTTTCAGTCTTGTTGAAAAGTGAAGATTTGAAACAACGTTAGTGGAGGTGAGAGCCACTGACTGGAAGACTGTTGGTTAGAATATTATTTGATTCAAGCATGAATAACTGATTGGACCAGTGGACTTTTAGGGTTCCTTCCAACCTGCCTTTAATCCTATAACTCTATTTTTGATACTTCATATAGACTCTCCAGCATTATTGCCAATTGGGAAATTTTGCTAACAATGTTAGCAAAAGTAAGATTCAAAAGAAAATAGTAATATGATGCAGTAATATTAGAAATCAAAATAACAAATATTTTAGCTGGATGTTTTTGTTTTTGAGTTGCCTAAATGAATTGATATATATACATCATATATATATATATGGTCTATAAGCACCTATGTGTGGCTTTGTCATGATGTATTAACCTTTAATGTTTTTTTCTTCTATAATTTGCTCCTGAACCCACTTTATTTTAGATATTCACTATAATGTAAAATATAACAAGGTATTTAGTTTTTTAAAACTTCTGGATTAATTTACAAATGTGCCTGCCATTTTTAGGGCGATTTTTGAGATAAACATTTTTGTATTAAACGTTATTTATTGAAAACCTGACATAGGAACTGTAATTGCATAGCATATTTGCTTAAAATTTTGAATTAATTATATAAATATATTTAAGAATATAATATAAAGACTGTATGTTTTGCAATGAAGATTGGAAAATATGCAATGCCTCAGTGCTAAAAAGTTTCATTTATTTTTTTTAGCCACAGACCTTCTTTTTGCCCAGACAGTATTTGGAAAAGCAGTGCCATTTGCCACAGCGGGAGATTGCTATAGTGCTGCCAGATGCCCACAGGTATTTCATATTTGTTTATTCTTCCCTCACCATGAAAAAAAAAACGGATACTGTTTCTCTGAATTTTCTTGACCAGAATATTTCAAGAAACGTAAGTAAATAGAAAAATGCAAATTTTCTATATGAATTTTATTTCAAAGGTTGTAGATAAATTTTGGAGGAAAAATATCTCCCTGCCAATTTTAGGTTTGTTTGAAAGGTGCAATAACAAGGATTTCAAATTGTTCAGAGCCTATTTCTCCTTCCGTCATGCATTTTCATTTTTAATCTTTCCACCCAGTCTATGGAAATGAATGGATATACATAACAAAGTAAAGGAATGGATCATAACCATGTGGCCTCTGCATACACTGCTGCTAAAATTGATTATAGTAGCTGTCTGGGTCTGTACCAATCCCAGAGTAACTTTTATTTGTGAAATAGTGTATTTCTGTGACTTTATTCTTGTTTTATTTTTTTTTCCAGAGTTCTCTTCACAAACCCTTTATGCCATCTATGTGATTTCCAGTATAGAGTATGCTTTCTAGAAGAAATTTACTATCTCATCTTTAACAAGAGATTTTATAAAGTCTATGTGAACAACAGTGTTATGATAAGATGGAGAAATGTAAGCTAGATTAATGTAGCATGGTTAGGCAGATTCATCACTAATTGAAAAAATCGTGTGCAAGAAGTAATAATTATAATATGGCTATTTTCAAGAGAAGTAGCTAATGGTTTGCCAGAGCCCTCTCTTCTTGGGATTTCCCATTCATTAGTTTCATCATATGACAGAGAAGGTATGCTTATGTCGAAAAGAGAGGGCGTTTCTATACTAGACAAAGACCCTTTATACTATACAAACACATTAGAACTATGGGTTCAAACGAATAAGAAAAAAATTATCTGGAATAAATTTATGAATTTTAGGTCCAGAAAGGCAAATAGAACCTGGTGATGTCATATGAAAAGGACCTAAGTGTTTTATTCAACCATCATGAGTTCAATATGACTCATGTAGATTATGGAGTAATTTCTAAACCACCCCAATACAATCATAAAGTACCCAAACACAATATTGACACCAAAAGATTTTAAATTTCTGTTTGAAAAAGGTAAGTTTTTAATCTATCTAGGAATAGGAGGCAACAACCAGGAAAGAAAAAAAAAAAAGAGGAAAGGAGGGGAAAAAAAAGGAGCATTTAAATCATGTCACATAAGGAAAATGAAGGTAGCTAGGAAAATAATGGGAGGTTATGGTAACTATCTTTAAATATTTAAAGAGATCCATGAAAGAGAAATGAGGTCAGTGTGTTATTCCAGGAGGCATTAATAGAGCAGAAGATTCCAGCTCAAGATAAAGAAGGTTTCTGACAAGGGAGAGTTGTCCAGTAAAAAGACCCCCCAGATGTGGGACCCAAATAATTCACTAATTTTTACCTGTAGTTTTTAATAAATTGGTCTTGTATCCTGCAACCCTGCTTAACTCATTTATTAGTTATAATAGTTTTTAATTGGATTCTTTGGGATTTTCTATATACACAGTGATGTCATCTACACATAAACATAGTTTTACTCCTTCCTTGGCAATATGGATGCTGTTTATTTCTTTATCTTGCCTCATTACCCCTCCAAAACTTCTAGAGCATCACTAAATAAAAGTGATGAGAGTAAAAAAAAAAAAAAGTTATGAGAGTAGATATACTTGTCTTATTCCTGATTTTAGGGGAAAGGCATTCAGTCCATCATTAAGTGTGTTAGCTGTGAATGTGTTGTAGATGCCTTCAGTCAAGTTGAGGAAGTGCCCTTCTATTCCTAATTTAAGTGGTTTTATCATGAAAGGGTATTGGTTTTTGAAATGCTTCTACATGTACTGAGGTGATCCTGTGGCTCTTGTCCATTACTGTACCAGATATACCAGTATAGCATACTGGTTGACTCTGGTATGTTGAAACAACCTTGCATTCCTAGGAGAAATCCCATTTGTCCATGTAATATCATTCTTTTAATATGTTGCTAGATTTGATTTGACTTGTTGGGAATTTCTCAACTATTTTCATAAGAGATACTGACCTAGTCATTTTCTTGTGAGGTCCTTATCTGGTTTTGATATCAGGGAAATACTGGCCTTCTAAAGTGAATTGGGAAGTATTCCCTCCTCTTCTACTTTTTTGGAAGAGTTTGTAAATAATTAATTCTTTTTTTTCTTTTTATTAAATTTTAATTCCAGTATAGTTAACATACAGTGTTATATTTCGGGTGTACAATATAGCGATTCAACAATTCTATACAACTCAATGCTCATCATGTTAAATGTTTTCTTAATCCCCATCACCTATTTCACCCATTCTCCCCACCCACCTCCCCTCTGGTAACCATCAGTTTGTTCTCTATAGTTAAAAACATTTTTTTCTGTTTGTCTCTTTTTTCCTTTGTTTCTTAAATTCACATATGAGTGAAATCATATGAATTTGTCCTTCTGACTTATTTCATTCAGCATTATACTTTCTGGATCTATCCCTGTTATTGCAAATGACAAGATTTCATTCTTTTTTATGGCTGGGTAATATTCCATTGTGTATATATTTATATACACGACCTCCTCTTTTTTTTTTTTTATTTTATTATGTTTTGTTAGTCACCATACAATACATCTCCAGTTTTCGATGCAGTGATCCATGATTCATTGTTTGCGTACAACCCCCAGTGCTACATGCAGTATGTGCGCTCCTTAATACCCATCACCAGGCTAACACATCCCCCCTTCCCCCTCCCCTCTAAAACCCTGTTTGTTTCTCAGAGTCCATAGTCTCTCATGGTTCATCTCTCCTTCCAATTTCCCCCCCCTTCATTTTTTCCTTCCTTCTCCTAATGTCCTCCAGGCAATTCCTTATGTTCCACAAATAAGTGAAACCATACGATAATTGACTTTCTCTGCTTGACTTATTTCACTTAGCATAATCTCCTCCATTCCCATCCATGTTGATGTAAAAACTGGGTATTCATCCTTTCCGATGGCTGAGTAATATTCCATTGTATATAGGGACCACATCTTCTTTATCCATTCATCTGTTGAAGGGTATCTTGGCTCTTTCCACAGTTTGGCTAATGCGGACATTGCTGCTATGAACATTGGGGTGCATATGGCCCTTCTTTTCACTACATCTGTGTCTTTGGGGTGAATACCCAGTAGTGCAATTGCTGGGTCAGAGGGTAGCTTTAATTTTTTGAGGAACCTCCACACTGTTTTCCAAAGTGGCTGTACCAACTTGCATTCCCACCAACAGTGTAAGAGGGTTCCCCTTTCTCCACAACCTCTCCAACATTTGTTTCTTGCCTTGTCAATTTTTGCCATTCTAACTGGTGTAAGGTTGTATCTCAGTGTGGTTTTGATTTGAATTTCCCTGATGGCTAATGATGATGAACATTTTTTCATTTGTCTGTTAGCCATTTGTATGTCTTCTTTGGAGAAGTGTCTGTTCACGTCTTCTGCCCATTTTTTGACTTGATTATTTGTTTTTTGGGTGTTGAGTTTGAGAAGTTCTTTATAAATCTTGGATACTAGCCCTTTATCTGTAGTGTCATTTGCAAGTATCTTCTCCCATTCTGTGGGTTGCCTCTTTGTTTTGCTGACTGTTTCCTTTGCTGTGCAGAAGCTTTTTATCTTGATGAAGTTCCAAAAGTCCATTTTTGCTTTTGTTTCGCTAGACTTTGGAGATGTATCTTAAAAGAAGTTGCTGTGGCCAATGTCAAAGAGGTTACTGCCTATGTTCTCCTCTAGGATTTTGATGGATTCCTGTCTCAGATTGAGGTCTTCCATCCATTTTGAGTTTATCTTTGTGTATGGTGTTAGAGAATGGTCGAGTTTCATTCTTCTGTATATAGCTGACACGATCTCCTCTTTATCCATTCATCTGTTGATGAACACTTGGGCTGCTTCCATAATTTGGCTATTGTAAATAATTTTGCAATAAACATAGGGGTGCATGTATCCCTTTGAATTAGTGTTTTGGTATTTTAGGGATAAATACCCACTAGGGTGATTACTGGATAATATGGTAGTTCTATTTTTAATTTTTTGAGGAATCTTCATATTGTTTTCCACAGTGGTTGCACCAGTTTGCCTTTTCACCAAAAGTGCACGAGGGTTCCTTTTTCTCCACATCCTCACCAACACCTGTTGTTTCTTGTGTTGTTGATCTTTGCCATTCTGATAGGTATGAGGTGATATGTCATTGTAGTTTTGATTTGCATTTCCTGATGATGAGTGATGATGAGCATCTTTTCATGTGTCTGTTGGCTATCTATATATCTTCTCTGGAGAAATATTTGTTCATGTCTTCTGCCCATTTTGTAGTTGGATTATTTGGGGTTTTTTGGTGTTGTGTTATATAAGTTCTTTTTTTTTTTAAGAACTTATTTATTTGAAAGAGAGAGAGAGAGAATGAGCAGGGGGGAGAACCAGAAGGGGATAGAGAAGCAGACTTCCTGCTGAGCAGGGAGCTCAATGCAGGACTCGATCCCAGGACCCTGGGATCATGACCTGAGCCAAAGGCAGACACTTAACTGACTGAGCTGCCCAGGTGCCCTATACAAGTTCTTTATATATTTTGGATACTAAACCTTTATTGGATATGTCATTTGCAATTATCTTCTCCAATTCAGTAGGTGCCTTTTAGTTTTCTTGATTGTTTCCTATGCTAGCAGAAGCTTTTTATTTTGATGTAGTCCCAATAGTTTATTTTTGCTTTTTTTCCCTCTTGCCTTAGAAGACATATCTAGAAAAATGTTGCTGTGGCCAGTGTCAGAGAAACTACTACCTAGGCTCTCTGCAAGGATTTTTGTGATTTCAGGCCTCACATTTAGGTAATTAATCCATTTTTAGTTTATTTTTGTATATGGTGCAAGAAAGTGGCCCAGCTTCACTCTTTTGCATGTAGCTGTCCTGTTTCCCCAACACCATTTGTTGAAGAGACCATCTTTTTCCCATTGAATATTCATTCCTCCTCTGTCAAAGATTA